AAGATTCTGTCCACCTCTTCATCAACCCCCTGTCCTCTCACTCTCACACTGGCCTGTTAGTGTGTTCAGCAGAACACTTATCTGATATTTTTCTTTGAGAACGTAGTGGTTTGTTTTTCCTCTACCGTAATGTAAATCTTTGATAATACTTGTCTTTGTAATTTTTGTATTCATAGTATGGAGAAGACTGCCTTGTGTTTATAAAGCATATAAGTATTATATGCACGGTTTGCACTATCTATCATCTATCTATATGCATGTAGAGATACATAAATATTTAGTGATATTAATAGTTATCACATGCAGTAGGAATGCCAGCGTGAATGAAGCAAAGGGGGATTCAGGTCTTCAGGCAAACACATATTGTGTGGAGTAAGGCTAGGACCCAGGACTGGCATCTGCTTGCCTGAGTTCTGACCTTGGATTGGAAATGGCCACTTTCAGTAAAGATAGTAGTACTGAGTCCTGGAGGAAATAGCCTGTATATCTTTGTATTTTCACTTCTCTGGTCCAAAAAATTTTTTTGTTGTTGCTTAAGAAAACTGCATGTTATGAGGCATCATAACTCAGTGTAGTCAGGGGATGTGGGAGTTTGGAATGTGTAAGCTAAAGACTCATCCTAACAGAAGGGGTCCGTGAAGTTCACAGTGAGGGATTCAATATTCAGAAAGAGAAAAGTGCCCTTTCAAGGTCCTTGTGGTTTTTATCATTTCTCCTCACGTGAGATTGTGGCACTTCTTCTGTTCATATTATTTTCTCAACATCTCTGACATCTCTTCTCTTTCACCAGTAGATAACAAGTTAAGAAGTGATCCTGGGCCGGGACATAGCTCAGTGGCAGGAGCGTCTGCCTGGCAAGCGCAGGGTCCTGAGTGCCGTCCCTGGTACCAACCACATACATACAAAAAGGAAAAGGGATCCTATCAAATGTGGTCCTTTCCTTCTTTCTAAAGATTCAAAGGTTCCCCAAGCTTCTCACGGTACTCCCAGATATGTCAGTGGCATTAAAAATATACCTTTAGAATGAAATATATATAACATGATATATATTGTAGCATGATATAATATATAATAACAAATATATATATATATATATATATATATATATATATCATAAAAAGGAAAGAGAAATCCTATAATCATTGCATGGCAGACACCTACCTAGATTTTTTCACTTAATTCACACAAGGGTTCCACCTGGTCTGATGGTACAAGTCCTGCTACACTAATGAGGCATTCATTATATGAAGGAATGGGTGTGCATTGTCAATAGGATTGTACAGTAGGGCAAAGATTAGAACTCAGGTCTGTCCATGTGCAGAACCTTCACAGCCCTTGCTTCAGGATGGTGTGTGTCCGTGTACACCCTGAATCCTAACCTGCAAGCTCGTGTCCTTGATGAAGATGCTGTGGAGAGATTCAGGACCCTTGCTAACTGACTTTCTCATTTCTGGATGTTTTCCAGAGGGTCCAGCATCTAACAAAGTCCTCCCGGCCCACCAGCTCTGCCTTCTAGTAGGTGTGGGAGGGAAGCACAGGCTGTCTTTTGTCAGTGACTGCCTGGGCTGTATTTGTTTTACTTTTCCATTTTAAAGTCATTTCCACTGTACCAGACTATAGCAGCATTGTTTGCATCACAAGCTACTGTTTGGTTTATCCCAGGGCCTGGGCCAGGCTTCTGTCAGGACACCCCAGGTTTCCCCTGAGCACCAGGCCTTGGTTCCTAGGAGTAGAAAATAATCCTGCTTGACCTTGGGAGGGACAGAGAATGACTGAGCAAAAAGCATTTGCTGTGCATCAGGATGACGTGCACAGGCGACCCTTTGATCGCTGAACGGCCCCGTGATGGCTGTGGTAACCTGCCCTGACACGGAAAGACTTGCCTTTCTGAACTGGTAGGCTACACTCACTCCTCTCCAAGGGCAGGGAAGCATGCGGCCTTGGAAATTCCAGTCTGCTCAGCATCCTCACATTCAAAATGGTTTGAGAAATCTGACCTCACGATGAATTGCAGACCCTCATCCTGGATATCCACAATATCTGATATTGTGTTGAGTAGCAATTAAAGAAGAAAGAAAGAAAAATGATGGGAAACACTCCTATTGTTAGTAAAACAGCTCTTTATTGCAGTCGAATCTGTGCCGTCAGCACTTCTCAGAGCTCTGCAATTTGTTATGGGTCAAAAATGCAGAAATTACATAGCTGCAGCAAGATCTACTCTACTAAAATTATCACAACCACTACCTGCCTAAACCGCCACTAGTACTGTTACTGCCACCACCACTGTCGTCTTCTCCTTCACCATCACCAGCACCATCACCACTACCCCTCACCATGGTTATGAACACCAGTACCACCACCATGACCGCTACCATCTCCACTGTTATCGCCAATAACATCATAACCAGAATTAACGGGGTACTTAGAATGTGCCAGTTTATTTAACATTCATGGCATTGACAGTAGGAGTTATTATGAAGACATTTCTATAGACCCATAAGATATTCCTGTCACCATTTCTTTTTTGTTATATCTATCATTATCCTCTTCCTCATTTTTAATTTTTTTGGTACCAAGGATTGAACTCAGGACCTTGGGCTTGCCAGGTAGGCACTTATGCTATCTCCCTGCCCACATCATTCCTTTTCTTAAAACTTTTTATTTTTAAAGCGAATCCTAGTTAGGATAGATATACAGCTACTTTTTCTTAATTCAATAAGAAGAAAGATTTGTACTAACAGTGTTCGGACCGAATATCATGTCTGCATCTTGTACTATGAATAACTACTATGAAGACAACAATATGCAGTGCATTAATTATTGTAACTGTCCTACTAACCAATTTTGAAACTGTCTCATTGCTATTTGTTTCTCAATAAAATTAATTAAACAAAGAATCCAAAAAATAAAACAAAGACCATTAGAGAGGATACAGAATTTCACTAAACAAAACAATAGGAATTCAACAATGGTTGTTATAGTGCATATTGTTGTCTTCCAATTAGTTGTACAGATTATCAGATATAAGACTGAAAGATTGGTCAAAATTATAAAAAAATTAAAAAGGAGAGAGAAAAACATTTAAGCATTAGCTGCTCCTTTCAGCAGATTAGCAGAAATCAGCAGTACGTTTATATAAGCTATCTTGTCCCTTTGCCCCTTCTTTCTTTTCTCCATTCCTTCATCCCCAGTTGTTCTTCCCTTTGAGTAGTTTCTTTCTCTTTCATGGTACTCATTGTACCCTTCAAATCCTGTGAACTCTTTCAGGTTCTTACACTAGGGAGACAACGTAATGCAAGTCTGATTTGTATCTTTTGGGAGGATGGTTTCCAGTCGCATCCACTTACCTATAAAAATCTGAAGCTTATCTTTTTTTATGCATTTGGTACAGGGTCTAAAGGAAGCACAGGGTCTCACTACATAGATTAGACTCATAGTGATCTTCCTGTTTTTAGCCTCCCAAGCAGTGGGATTATAGGCATGCGCCACCACGCCCAGTCTTCAAGCTTATCTTTTTTTATAGCTGAGTAATACCCTCTTGTATAAAAACACCACATACTTTTATCCTCAGTTGATGAACATTTGGGTTGTTTCCAAGATTTTGCTATGACAAATTGTGCTGCTATAAACGGGTGCACATATATAGCTTTGGTATATATTTTCATTTGTGAAGGATTACCCAGGAGGGGATTAGCTGGGTTGAATGGGACCCCTAATCCTAGTTATCTGAGGAATCTCTACATTGATTTTCATAGTGGTTATACCAGTTTACACTCCCATCAGTAGTGGGTAAGGGTTTCATTTTTCCCCACAGCCCTTCTAGTACTTGCTATTAGTTGACTTCTTGATGATAGCCATCCTTTCTGGATTAAGATGGAATCTCAATGTTGTTTTAATTTGAGTTTCTGGAACAATCATTGATGTTGAATATTTTTCATGTATTTATTTTCCATTTGCATTTCTTCATCGGAAATGTGTATATTCATCCAGATGCCCATTTTTTATCGGGTTTCTCAATTTTGAGTCTGAATTTTTTTTTTAATTCTTTATGTGTTCTAGATAGAAGTCCTTTGTCTGAGGGACAGTCAAGCTATTTTTTTCCCCAATTCATAGGTTTTCTTTTTATTCTGTTGGTGATTTCTTTTGATGTGCAGAAAGTTTTAAAAAAGATGAGATCAGAGTTGATTCTTTGAAGCATTTCTTGGGCAGTTCTGTTTTTATTCATGAACTCTCTGCCTACCCCTATGGTTTCAAGATTTTTCAAGAGCTCTACCTGCTTTGTCCTCAAGTAGATTTAGGGTCTGGTCTCCCCTGGTGCCATTCCCCAAGAGCACAGTGCACATGGTAAAGTAGATTCTAACCAGAAATCAGTGGAAATTTTCTTGGTGGCCTGTCTGTCCACGATGGGACATACAGCATGTCTCAGCTTTGGGACAGAGAATATGGCTGTGCAAAGAAAGCCCACAGTGCTGCTTATACTGAGGCAGGGCTCAGTCTAAGCAAACTGCAGTCCTGCAAAAAGCAAAATTTATTAACAGATTGGGTAGTGTAGTATGCTACAGTTTATGAAGAGAGGAAAGAGTGTGTGTGTGTGTGTGTGTGTGTGTTTGTGTATGTGCGTGAGGGGGGGAATGTGAGAGCAGTATGCTCAGTATATACTCTAGAAAGATCGGTGAACATCTAACAGGATAGAAAAGGGACCCCGGGGCATTGGGCTAGGAAGAAGCAAGTCTTTCTCAGGTAAACCTCCTTGTGCCCTTTGAATTTGGGGCCACTTTGCAGTGTGGGATTACAGAGCTGGCCCAAAGCCCAGCCTCCCTGACACAGAAGCCAGAACCCTGTTCCCTCACCCTGTACCTCTCTCTATAGATTGTTCTTCCCTCACCAACAGCAGAACCAGGAAGTAGGAGGCGCAAGATGAGACTTCCCTTGCATGCGTTATTCAGTTGGCTCTGAGTAATGACTACCTTTCCATTGATTTTGGCTTCTTTTGCTCTCAGGGAAAGAAAGGTGACATGGGTGCGCCCGGACTCCTGGGATCGCCAGGGCTGCAGGTAATTGCTGCCTTTCAATCCTTTTCCATTGCATGCTGCTATCTCTGGTTCAGTCAGTGACCAGGGAGCTGTTCTCAGGCTGGCACTGTAAAGAACGGACCACCTGCTCTCTCCCTGCTCTCCTGGGCAGGAGCTTGAGGTACAGGACCATCCTCTGTCCTTCTGGAGGGATTCTGTCTAGCAGAGTGATGGCCACTTAGGAGGAGAGGGGACCAAGACCTGAGGAAAGCACCTGGCAGAATGCGGGGAGAGAGCACAGGGCCAGGATGGCAGGGACCCCGGCTGAGCAGGCTCATTGTCCCCAGGACAGGAAGCCCTCAGGAGGGTCAGTGGTGGGAGTGGAACCCAGCCTTCCTGGGGAGTGGAATCTGTATGGGTGTGCTTTCACAGACTGAAATCCTGAAGAGTATGACATGGCGAGATGAGAAGTGGAAGACACTCTCCCAAGGAACCAGAAAAAGGAGGAAAAGGCAGCAGTCACTAGATCCAGAGAGGAGAGCCTCTCTGGCTTCCCCAAACTGGGGCGCTGGCTCTGTGCCTTTCCCTCTCCAGTTTCCCCATCTGTAGGATAATGGAGGTAGGGCCTCAGTCACACAGCTCTTAGTCTCTACCCAGGAAGTGCTTTGCTCTCTCCTTAGATGTTGCCTTCTTCCTCCTCCTCCTCCTCCTCCTCCTCCTCCTCCTCCTCCTC